TGATCAAAAGCCTTTAGCTAGAATACCTTTTTACCCTCGGGCTTTGTTGTATTCCAGCTGCTTGATTGCCCCTTGCAGTTTTTCAAGGGATGGTGGTTCATTCAATTATTTTACCATAAGATACTGGAGGATAGCTTGGAGAGTATCAGCTGTCACAATGGATTCACAGCTGATTAGTTGTTGAAATTGTTCTTTCCTACTTTGATGGATGGCATCAGCTTTCTTAAGAGAAACTTCATCTTGTAGAGGGAATTTTGTCCATTTCACCTTGCACTGAAGATAGACCTGATAGCTTCAAAAAAGCTTTATATGTCATAATGGTTAGCATGTTGTTGGACCTCTTAGGCTCCCTTTTCCCCCAATCAGATGCTGAAATATGTGGCCTTCTGGTATGCAAACAAATAGCCTTCATTGTCTAGAAGAATAGTCAAAAGTCACAAGTCAAGATGATATCTCCTTTAAACTACTATCTAACTCTCTAAATTCCTATTGCAGGATCTTATATCTGTTTCTACCCATGTTGTTGGTACCGATATGTACCACTGACATTCATCTTCCCTCTTCAGAATGCATGTAGCCGCTCTGAGACATCCCTGATGCTGCACCAGGGAGGTAATATACCATTTGAGTGTGTCATTTTTGAGCATAGAACTGTTTGTCAGTCCCCTTTATAATTGAGTCCCCTATCATTAAAGCCCTCCAGTCTTTTTCCTCTCCTGCAGTGCAGCAGAGCCAACCATGGTGCCACAGACTTAGCTGTTTCTGCTTTCCCCTGAGAGGCCATCCTCCATGACAGTATCCAACACGGTACATCAGTTTGAAAGGGGGTTGACCACAGGGAACTCCTGCTCTACCTGCCTACACCTGCTTGTCTTCTTTATGTTTGTAACTTACCAGAAGCCTTAATATTGTTGAGTTGGCTGTGCAAGCTGCTAACACTGAATCCTGTCTTCTCATGTCCTGTCATTTTCATTTGAACTGTTCTGGAACCTTTCCACTCCACAATTTGACTGTTGGGCATTTCAAAATTCATGCACTTTGCAGATGTGACATAATGAGTACTCAGATGTTTTTATTTGCCACTGTCTGATCATGAGTCCCTGAAAACTGGTGATATTGGTATCAAGATCTTTTGGTAGCCTGTAAGCGGTCATGGTTTTCTGCTGCAAGACTGGACGTTTTAGTTCAGTAAGATTAATCTGAAAACTTTATTGGACTCAGGCTTGATTTGACTGATTAAACAACATTGAATTCTTGATGGTCATGTAACAATCCTGATGATTTTAAGGGACTTATTCCATATGTTAATTCTGATTAGCTGGTTAGTGACCCCTGATTGTATTGTGCTTTTGGTCTTGAGCATCAACTTCAGTATGGATTCATTCTACCTCTATTCTACCATCAATCTTTCATTTAACATATCATATTAGTTACGTAGCAAAGAAATGCTATGTTAGCCCTGTTAAGACATTTAGCTTGAGGCTAGCTTCATTTTTAATTCTTTTTCCAGAGAATCAGTCTCTATTTATTGTTTTGTTGCATGTTCTATGTAGACGTATCTAAATTCATAAACATGCTTAATCCCTTGTTTTGACTTATAGCGTGAATAAAGAATTATATGGAAAGTTTAAAATTGAGCCTAATGTGAGTATAGTGTTTTTTAACAGAAAGAGGAGTTGATTTATGTACCAAGTATAGAGCTAAACATGATTTCTGGCACTGAAAAGATGGTGTTGTGCTACATGCTAGGTCGAATTCTCCAACATGATTTATGGTATGTTAATGAACTAGGCTTATCTGTATAGGGTACCATTTCAAAATCTGCATATGACAAACCATGGAAATAATATGAACTGTGAGGAGGTAGGGATAAATGTCCAGAGAACATAAGATAGCCTGGCGGAACATTTTATGTAAAATTCAATGCAGACAACTGAAGTGATTCATTTTGATGGGCAGACCAAGGAGAACAAAATAAAATATAGAAGGCAATATCCATCTAGGGTGCACTAGTCATTGAAGGTGACAGGGCAGTTTGACAAAGTAGATAAATAGGCAGATGAGTACCTGGAATTCATTAAAAGGATTGTACTGTGCAAAAGGAAGGAAGATAAGATGAACCTTTAAAACAGAATTCAGCCTTAACTAGAGCGCTTTAATCAATTCTGGACATACTGTAAGAAATGATATTAAGATATTAAAACATGCATATGAAGATTCAGAAGAGTGGTTCTGGGATTAGGGAACTTTTGCTACATGGATAAATTGGAAAGTCTGGGGATGCTGTCCTGAGAGATGAGAAGGTCAAGGGGGGATTTTATAGAATTGCTCGAAATCATACGTTGTGTAGTATCAGTCACTAGGAAGCAAATATTCCACCGGCAGAAAACTTGAAATTTAAGGTGAATGGCAAAAATATAGGTAGGACAGATGAGTTTAGGGTGTGAATTGAAACATGAAATTGTGATGCTGTTGTCACCACAGAGATCTGGTTAAGAAAGGTACAAAGGACCGACAGTCAACATTCTGGATTATAGAGTCTTCAGCCAGGACAGGGCAGGGTGTAAAACAGGAAGTGGTATTGCATTATTAGTTGAGGAGTCAGTTACTGCAGTAAGGAGGGACAATATCTTGGAAGGGTCATCAAAAGCCTTGCGCGTAGACCTCAGGATTAAAGAGGGGGCAGTCACACTGTTATGAAAGAATTCTAGGCCCCCAAACAGTCAGTGGGCAGTTGAACATCAGATATTTAGACATTTTCACTGAGGTGTGTGAAAATAATAGGATGGTTATATTAAGGGATTTCAATTTACCCAACATTAATTGAGATAGTCATAGGATAAAGGGATTAGAGGGAGCAGATTTCTTGAAATGTATTCAGGAGAGCTTTTTATACCAGCATGTGAATGGTCCTACAAGGGACAATACAGTGCAGAACCTAATTCTGGGGAATTAAGCCAAGCAGCTGGTAGAAGTGGTAGTTCAAAGAATCCCTACAGTTTGGAAACCGCCATTCAGCCCCACAAGTCCGTGCCGACTTACCGAAAAGCATCCTCCCAGACTCTCACCACCATCCACCCTATCCCTGTAGCACTGCACTTCCCATGGCTAATCTACCTAACCTACACATCCCTGGACACGGTGGGCAGTTTAGCATGGTCATTCCACCTAACCTGTGCATCTTTGGACTAGTGGGGGAGGATTTTGGTGATAGCAACCACAATGCCATGTGTTTTAAGTATGTTATGGAAAGGGAGAAAGAAAATTTGCAAAGAATATGCCTCAAGGCATATTTTATTAAAATAAGGAAGGATTTCACCAAAGTAGACTAGTAACAGCTACTTGAGGGTAAATCTAAAGCAGAAAAGTGGGAGGTGTTCAAAAAGAAATTGGGGAGAGTACATGCTCAGTGTGTTCCTTTTAAAGGTGAAATGTGGGAGCACAAGCCTGGAGAAAACTAGACATCTAGGAATTTTGAGGACTGGATAAAAAGAAAAAGAGAGCTATATAACAGGGACAAAGAGAGTGAATCAACGGATGCCATAGTGGAGTATAGAAAGTACAGAGGGGATCTTAAGAAAGCAATTAGGAGAGCAAAGAGGTGGCAAAAAAATTTCAGTAGGCAAGATTAGGGAGAGTTCCAGATCCCTCTACAAATATATTAAGGGAGGAGAATAACCAGCTTAGGTGTAGGGCCCACTGGGGACCAAGGGGGAAATTTGTGTGCGGAGCGGGAGGGCATTGGTACAGTGTTAAATGAGTACTTCACATCTGACTTCGCTCAGGAGAAGGAGGATGAAGGACTAGTGTATATTTAGTACACTTTTAGTTGTGCAGACTCAATGAGTTGAAGGACTTCTTGTATAATCAGTGATTCTGTGACAAGGGAATACGGTTTCATGCAGTGATTGGTTAGGATCTGGAATACGTTGCCTGAGAGGATATGGAGGTAGTTTCATTTGTGGCTTTCTAAACAGAATTGGATGATAATCTGAGGAGAAAACAATTTCAGAACTAAGGGAAAGGGTGGGGTGACTGAGATGAACTGAGTTGCTTTTGCACAGAACAACATAGAAACAAGAGGTTATGTTCTGTAGGAATGGATCCACATTTGATTTTTGGGTCATAGAGTCAAACAGGACGGAAACAGTCCCTTCGGCCCAACTGTCCATACTGACAAGGTTTCCTGAACTGAACTGGTCCCATTTGCCTGCATTTGGCCTATATCCCTCTAAACCTTTCCTATCCTGTCCAAATGTCTTTAAATGTTGTAATTGCCTCTGCCACTCTGTGTGAAAACATTGCCCTTCATTTCCCTTTTAAATCTTTCCCTTCTCATCTTAAGCCTGTGCCATCTAGTTTTGGCCTCTCCTACGCTGGAGAAAAGACCTCGACTATTCATCTGAAATTTGTCCCTCATGATTTTATAAACCTTTATAAGGTCACCCCTCAGCCTTCTATGCTCTAGGGCAAAAAAGTCCCAGCCTATCCAGCCCCTCTTTATAACTCAAACCTTCCAGTCTAAGTAAGATCCTTGTAAATTTTCTTTGCACCTTTTCCTGTTTAATAACATCCTTCCTATAGCAGGGATGTGTGTGATAAAGACAGCTTGGGTATGCATGATGACAGTTTAGTTTGCATACGTGACAAAGACAGTTTAGCTGGGGTAGGCACGATGAAAACAGTTTAGTTAGTGTGTTTGATGAAGTCAGTGTCATTAGGATGTGCATTTTGAAGACAAGTTAGTCAGGGTTCATGTGATGAAGTCTGTTTAGTTAGTGCTTGCGTGATGAAGACAGGGTGCTTGCGATGAAGGCAAAGTAGGGTGCAGGTGATGAAGACAGTTTAGCTAGTGTGTGTATGAGGAATACAGTTTCGTTAGGGTGTGTCATGAAGACAGTTTAGTTAGTGTGCACGTGATGAAGAGAATTTATTTAGGGATTGTGTTACATTAGTATTGTTTAATTCATTTGGTTTCCTTATTTATTTTCCTGGATCAGAATGGCCTAAATTTGCTCCACTGTGCTGCCCGAAGAGGCCATATAAAGATACTGGAGTTTATCATGGAAGACCTGGAAGATATATGGCTGGACAAACCTGACAATGTGAGTATTATTTTACAATTGTAGATTTTAGGATGAATTTTACAAACATAAAATTTTAGAGTGTAACATCACGTGGCAAGGTCCAATATCTGGAATTCTGATTTGAATATCATAGGAAGCATGTGGCCGAATTTCTAACATCATACATGATTTTCTAAATTCCAATGCCTGAGTCCATATTGCTGATTTCTTTGTAACTTCCATCAGCCCTATAACACTCTTCTGTATTTTCCCACAGCATCCTCTATGTCTTGCATTTGTGGTCATGCCTTTAGCTGTTTAAGCCTTCAGCTCAGAAATTCCTTCTCAAAGTTGTGTGAACCTGCACCTATCGATCTTCCTTTAAGATAAAAGAAAGTTGAGGAAGCACAGGAGGCCAGATTTAGAGAAATAAGGATTATTCAGAGGCTTCCAGGATTTTGTCCCAGCAACAGTCTAAAAGTCCGGATGGTAAGTAACTTGGAGAGTAGCTTAGAGAGGAACTTGCTCAAGAATTATGAATCATAGAAGTATCGAAGCATCAAGTCCTCACTGTCCTTCCAAAGGGCATCCCACCCAATCCCTATAACTGTACATTTCCCAATACTAATCCGCCTAGCCTGCACATCCCTGGACACTATGGGCAATTTACCATGGCCAATCCACCTACCCTGCACGTCTTTGGACTGTAGGAAGAAACTGGAGTACCCAGAGGAAACTCATGCAGACACAGGGAGACTGTGCAAACTCCACACAGACAGTTGCCTGAAGCTGGAATCAAACTCCTGTCCCTAACTACTGAGCCACCGTGCTGCCTGATGGTTGCTGGTGTTCCCATGTATCTGTTGATCTGTTGCTCTTGTCCTTCTGGATGAAATTGGTTGTTCAATTCATTTGTCTGGTTTGCGGTGCAATTCCCATACGGGCTGAGGTTATCATGAAGGACTCTCCTTGTTAACCTTGCCCCTCCGCTTAAACCATCAGCAGTTGTCTCTCTGTATGAGAGAGCAGTCTATGGTCCAGAAGGACTATGGAGATTTTATCTTTTATCTTTTATCTTTACTTCCTAGATGGAAGTGGTCATCGATTTCGAAGGTGCTGTCTCAGGATCTTTAGTCAATTTCTGCAATGCATCTTGTAGATGGTGCACACTGCTGCTACTGAGCATCAGTGGTAGAGGGAATTGATGTTTGTGGATATATTTGTGCCAGTTAAACAGGCTGCTTTGTCCTGGATGGTGTCAGGCTTCTTAAGTATTGTTGAAGTTGCACTCATCCAGGCGAGTGGAGAGTATTCCATCACGCTGCTGACTTGTACCTTGTAGATGGCGGACAGGCTTTGGGGAGTCAGGAGGTGAATTACTCACTGCAGTATTCCCAGCCTCTGACCTACTCTTGTAGCCATTTTATTTATAAGTTGAATCCAGTTGAGTTTCTGGTCAATGGTAACCCTCTGGATGTTGATAGAGAGGGATTCATTGATGGTAAAACCATTGAATGTCTAGGGGCAGAGTGTGGAGTTTCTCTTATTTGTTAGAACCCTTGCTGATTTTTCATTATTTTCATTTTTATTCTTTTATCAATTTTGGCTTGGAGTGGTGAACTGGGAATTCTGGGCTGAAAGTGACTTTTGGATTTTGGGAAACAGCTTGTGGTAAAAGGCAAAGAACAGACCAAACAAGCTTTATTTTGTGAGGCCATGCCTCTAGGTTAGTTGCAGGCTAATTCTTGATCAAAGGGCTCATAAAGACACTGCAATTTCGGGAAGAGCATTGACTTTAAACAGATAGCAGAAGTTGGCTATTAATGAGATCAGTACCTGGGAGGTGGATCCAATAAGTCTGAAAGAAACTCTATTCAAACAGATGGCAGATATTGAATGATAATTGAGGCCTTGGGAAAATACATTCAATCTATTAGAATTGGGCCATTGTTGAAATTGTTGAACTGTGTTTTCTGGAGAGAAGAGTTTGGCTGCTGATGACAAGCATGAAGATTTGAAAGCTCCCTCCCTAACCACCTTTTACCAACTTTCAGAAGCCCAGAGATTTGACAGCTGAGTAGAAGTATTACTACCTTTACCTGAGTGAACTGAAAAGGTGACCCTGATCAATCTCCAGAAAAGCAAGAAGGAGTCGACATTTATGCCTGTGAAATAATGCATCGTGAAAATCATTTAAGTAATCTTGCCAGTCTTGTTCTGAGATGACAAGAACTGCAGATGCTGGAGTCAGATTTGATACTGTGTGGAGCTGGAGGAACACAGCAGGATAGGCAGCATCAGAGGAGCAGGAAAGTCGATGTTTCGGGTCGTTTCGAGTTCTGAAGAAGAGTCCTGAGCCGAAACATCGACTTTCATACTCCTCTGATGCTGCCTGATCTGCTGTGTTCCTCTAGCTCCACATGGCAGGTTTTGTTATTTTATTTATCACTTAACTATGCTTGTTTGACTATCTTTTTTGTGAATGGGGACTGAAATCCTATCTAATAGAGATTAATTAGATTACTTTGTTGTTTATTTTTTTCTCTGCTGAAGTTATTCTATGTTAAGTAAATTATTAAGTCTTTTGTTTAAGACACAAAACTGGTCTAGAATTAATTATTCACAAAAACTGGGATTGGTTATTGAAAGGTCTGGTTAGGAACCATTGGAATAACTATTCAGGGTCTTTGAAGGTTTTAATTTTTATTGTGTTGTGAAAACAGAGGTAGAAAAGCTGATTTGATTTAGCTGTCTGTCTCTGGGTCATAACATAATGGAGATGGTCATTACTTGGTAACTGTGTGCCAGGAATATCATTTGCCACTTTCCAGCCCAAGCCTAGATATTGTTCAGCTCATATTGCATTTAGATATAGATTGCCTCAGTATCTGAAGTTTTTGGTGGTGCTGAACATTTGTGCAATCATCAGCAAACATCCTCACTTCTGACCTTATGATGGAGGGAAGATCATTGATGAAGCAGCTGAGGATGGTTGGGCCTAGGATACTACTGTGAGGAACTCCTGCAGAGATATCCTGTCAGAGGTGCAGGAAAGTTGATGTTTTGGGTCGGGACTCCTCTTCAGACCTGACCTGAAATGTCAACTTTGCTCCTCCTCTGATGCTGTCTGGCCTGCTGTGTTCCTCCAGCTCCATACTGTGTTGTCGCTGACTCTAGCATCTGCAATCACAGAGTTTTGGATGAGTTCTTTTCTTTGCAGTTGAAGGTGGCAGGGTGGATGCAGGCAGTCACACAAGTGACAGAATAGTCGAGCCTGGAGGTTGCAAAAGCACAGAAGAGTGTAGACATTTGCTGTTTTACTTTGAGTAATATCCTACACGAGGAGACCATCCATATTTATTTCATCTTTTATTCTGTAATGTTTATTTCAACCTGTTTCTGCTTTTTTATGACAAAAGTAATCTCTGCACAGATGCAACGAACAGCATTACACCTGGCAGCAAGTTATGGCAACCTAGAGGTGGTGGAATTCCTAATTGGCTCAGGCTGTGTCCATGGCCTAAAGGACAAGGTCAGTATAACAAAGGGTAAGCTCGCTAAGTTTTCAGCCTGTGTAGGATTTATTACATTGTTACAAGAACATCTTTTGCACTGGTGTAATTGTACAAATTGTAGTGAAAGAGAGGGATATTGGGATGGGTTAGCAAAAGATTGTTCCAAAAGGTGTGTTTTAAGAAGAATCTTGAAGATGATAAGAGAGAAGGAGAGACCGAGGAGTTTAAGGAGGAAATAAGAAGTCATACAGAACTCGAAACGTTAATTCTGTTTCTCTCTCCACAGATGCTGCAAAGCCTGCTGAGTTTCTCCGGCACTTTCTGAATATGAATATTAAACAAGGTGGTGGAGGAAGTGATGATGCTGTCACCTTTGTCTAGAAGATGAGGAAGGATAATGACCACTGACACAGAACTGCCTGGACTTTAGTTTGATTACTTTGGTGTAATGGGACAGACAAAGTGTGACCGGAGGAATTCAAACAGTGGAAGATTTGAGCATTTGTCTGACAAGGACTCTGGAGAAGAAATTGGAGATTGGACAGCAGGCATAGTGGGGTCATGGGTGACTCTTTAAGGAAGTGGGGTGTGTGATGTTGATTTTGAAAAAGAGGAAGCCAGTAGAAGGAGAGTATTTACAATATCAGCTAGCATCGGGCCAGGAAAATAGTCAAACGGCCAGCTTTTCAGTGGGAATGCAGTGAAGGAAGCAGGATTATGATCGCTGTTGTGTTTCTGTGCTTAGTTTAATGCAGAATTGAGGACTTTTTCTGCTCTCATCCTATAGATGAGAAATAAAATGAATCCTTGTCTGCAAATTCTAGTAGATATGTAAGATGCTATGGCACAATGCATAATAACAAGGAGTTCCACAAGCATTCTGACCAATGCATGTCCTTCAACTAATGCAACTGAAAGCAGAAATGTAAACACAAAATGCTGGAAATACTCACAAGTTGGTAGCATTTGTTCAGAGGAACAGTTAAAATCTTAGGTCAATGGCCTTTCAGAAATTGAAAAAGCAAATTATCTGCGTCATTTTGTTTGAAATGGGCTGTTCTCAAATTGATTGCTATATATGCTGAAAAAGCAATGATGTTATTGCTTAAGAACAGCACATGTGTTTGGTTCTCCCCTCATGGTAAATCTGGAAGCCTCTGGTATGAATTACAGAATTCTCATGTAGGGGAAATGGAACCTGTGGCTTTTTCAGAATATAAGCTCTTCTACATTTCAGAATGTCAAATGGCAGAAAGGTTTTGAAAGCTTATCAGACCCTGAACCAGTGTTACCACAGTGCTGCAGTATCATAAATGTGACTGTCTAACTCAGTTTATTCTAAATTCCATAGGAACAGAACACCCCCCTTCATTTGTCTGCAAGAAGTGGGCATGTTGAAGTGTTACAGAAAATAGTAGAAACTGCAGTGGATCTGGATGAAAAAAATTGGGTGAGATTTTGAAATCTAAGTAAAATATCCATTGCCAAAAGTTCACATATCCAGTTTCATTGCGTCTGTTCAATGACTGCACTGGTCATTGGTAGAAACGTTGTTTCATCCATTCATGTTAATCTCTCTGTACATAGAGGAGAGGAATGTGGGAAGCTTTGGTGGTGAATGCACTAAAACATAATCAAATAGAATAGCAGCTTGAAGGAGAATGAATAAGATTTCAAGATCCAACCTGCAAAAGATGCAGGTATCTGATGAGTAAAATCCTGGGTACAGGAGCCATACCTGGAGCAATGGCTATAGTTCTGAGCATTGAGTAAAATCCTAAATACAGCTACCCCATTTCTGATGCACTGTGTTATGACCCTGTGCACAGATACTGCACACTTGGAGTCTTGTCTTAATTTGAGTTGAGAAGATGAAGAACAATTGGTCACTGTGAAGAGAAGACAGTTGTCTCCAAATTTCTACTCTTGGTATTCTAAATATAGGCAAGTCTGGGGAGTAGATTTGGGAAGGACCAGGCAACCCTGGATTAGGCCCTTTTCCTGTCGGTCAGGTGGACTGACCAATGTCATTAAGGAGTGATGTAAATGAAGATTTTCTGTATACTGTTTGCTTCCTCCTATATTAAGGTTTGCTATGGTAGGTTGGGAATTTCCTTATTAATCGATTACTTGATGTACACTGGTATGTTAAGAAGAAAGGACACCTCACTTGCAGGCTATGGTTGGACTTCTGCCACATTGAGTTCCACACCTGTCACCTGAGTTGGGTACCTCATTATTTGTAACTAATGCCTAGTAAAAATGAAATACTGAGTTTCCTGTACTACTAGACAGGATTCTGCCGTAAGCCTAAGGATGCAACATTTGCTGTGATATACGGCAATTGAGAATTCACAGCCATTTATTAAGGTCTAATCTGATACAGTTGCATCCAGATGTCACTTATTTCCCACAGTACATACATCAGCTTTGGTCTTGTTCACTCAAAGTGTCCTTTTATCCTGATGATTGCGCAGTCTATGCTGCAGCCTTGTTGCTAAACACTTATCTCTGGCCTGGTTGTTTTGCCATTTAGTTACATTTATTTTGCTACAGATATTTATAACTGAATGTATTTTAACACTTTCAGTTTCTTCCATTTTGGCCCCTTCTCTTATGCTCCACTGCCCTTAGATACTGCCCAGTTTAACATTGTAAAGGTGGTTATGCCATTTGTACAAGAAACCACAGCAGTATGGGCTGTTGCCTTATGTTTTGTCCCTACAATCTCTAAATTTCATACTCCTTGAAATCTCTTGTATCGTTTTGGTATGGGGAACCAAGCTGGTTAAGAACCAATGCCAAATGGGTGATAATCAAAACATGGGAGATTGTCCTAATCCATGGGTGTATCTGTACATTTGATCCTTAATTCCAAAGTTCTTCCCACTATCAGTCAATGCTGTAGCTTGTTGCTGCGGAATGTAGCACATTCTGTACACTTGAATGTCTATAATGTGTTCAGACAACAACGGAGTTACACAGGAAAACTGGCTGAGATTGTGTCAGATTTTCCCAAATGTCGGCCTTTACCTGTAGCCGCCACCTACAAGGCAGGAGTGTGATTGGGGGGGTATTCCTCACTTGCCTGGATTCAATACTATTGCAGCTTCAATGACACTCAAAAAGCTTGACGCCATCCTGGACATCCACTTGATTGGTACCATTCCCTCCCATCACCAATGCTCAGTAGCAGCATTGATGCATTGCAGAAAATTGCCAAAGATCTTTAGACAGCACCTTCCAAACCCACAACCAGTTTAATCTAGAAGGATAAGGGCTGTAGATACAAGGGAGTACCACCATCTGCAATGTCCTTTCCAAGCCACTCACCATCCTGAGTTGGAAATATATTGCTGTTCCTTTGCTGCCGCAAGGTCAAAATCTTGGAATTCCCGCCCTAATGACATTGAAGGTCGATCTACAGCATATGGATCGCAGAGGTTCAAAAGGCAGCTAAGGATGGACAATAAATCCTGGCCCAGCCAGCAGCCCCCAATCCCATGAGTGAATAAACCAAACATAATTAAGCAGAGTCAGTCGGTTTCATGAAGGAGTAATCATACCTGACAACATTATTAGAATTCAATGAGGAAGTAACAAATAAGATGGATATAGGGGAACCAGTAGATGTAATATATTTGGATTTCCAAAAAGCAATCAAAAAGGTACCGTGTATAAGGCTACTTGATAGAAAAAGACCCCATGGTACTGAGGACAGTATATTACTTTGGATAGAAGATTGGCTAAATAATAGAAGATAGAGTTGGGTAAAAGAGGGTCTTTTCAGGATGGTAACCTGTAACTAGTGGAGTGCCACAGGGTCAGTGCTAGGTCACAATTATTGATAATATATGTTAATGACTTGGATGATTTGAAGTGAATAAACCATCATCAAGTTTGCAGTGACACAAAAATTGATGGAAGGCAAATGGTGAGGTTGGCACAAGGAGTCTGCAGAGGGTTACAGACAGGTTAAGTGAGTGGGCAAAGCCTTGGCAGATCAAATGTAGTGTGGAAAAAGGTGAGGTTATATTCTTTGGCAGGAAGAATTGAAGAGCTAAATATTATTTAAATGGAGAAAGGCTGCAGATAGCGACAACACAGGGTTCTGGGGGTCCTAGTTCATGGATCACAGAAAGCTAGCAGCCAAGTTCAGTCAGCATTAGGGAAGGAAAATGTAATGTTGACCCGTATTTCAAAGGGAAAGGGAATGGCTTATAAACATAAGGAGATTTTACTGAATCTATACAAGGCATTAGTCAGACCACAGCTGGAATACTTTGAACAGCTTTAGACCCTTTGTTATATTATAGTGGAGGCAGTCCAGAGAAGGTTAACTAGGCTGATCCTCGTTGTGCAATCATCAGTGAACATCCCCATTTCGTACTTTTCGATGGAGAGAAGGTCATTGATATAGCAGCTGAGGATGATTGGGCCTAAAATACTACCGTGAGGACTCATGCAGGGATCTGCTGGAGTTGAGACGAATAACCTCCTGCAACCACAACCATCTTTCTTTGTGCCAAGGATGACTCCAACCAGTAGCGAACTTTTCCCTGATTCTCGTTGACTCTAGTTTTATTACAGCTTCTTGATACCACACTCAAATGTGACCATGGTGTCTACGGCAGTCATTCTCACCTCACCTCTGGAATTCGGATGCTTTGTCCATGTTTGCACCAAGGCTGAAATGAAGTCAGGAGCTGAGTAGCCATGGCCGAATGAAATTGATTCCTGGGATGACGGTTTGACGTATGAAGAGTGATTGAGTCTCTGAGAGTTGTTTACATTGAAGTTTAGAAGAATGATGTGGGATCTCATTGAAATCTATAAAATTCTAATAGGACTAGACAGGTTAGATGAAGGAAGTAAGTTCCCGATGATGGGCGAGTCCAGAACCAGAGGTCATAGTTTAAGGATAAGGGGTAAAGTGTTTTAGAACTGAGATGAAAATTGGTGGAGTTGTGAATAGTGAGGAAGTTTGACAAAGAATGCAACAGATCAGTTGGAAAGTTGAGTGCAGAAATGGTAAATAGACTTTAATCTGCATAAAAATGAGATGATGCATTTCGGGAGATCAAATGCAAGAGGAAAGTATACAGTAAATGACAGGCACTTAGCAGCATTGATATACAGAAGGATATTGGGGGCAAGCCCATAGCTCCCTGAAATAGCAACACAGTGGATGAGGTGGGAAGAAGGTTTATGGCATGCTTACCTTCATCATTTGGAGAATTGCATTTAAAAGTTGGCAAGTCATGTTGCAGGTGTATAAAACTTCAGTCAGGCCACATTTGGAGTAGTGTGATCTGTTCTGATTGCCACGCTATAGGAAAGGTGTAGAGACTTTGGAGAGGATGCAAAAGAGGTCTTTCAGGATGTTGCCTAGATTGGGGTGTATTGGCTATACGGAGAAGTTGGATGAACTTGGATTGTTTTCACTGGAGTGTCAGACTGAGGCACAACCTGATAGAAGTATCTAAAGTTATGAGAAACATGGATAGGGTTGATAGACTTTTTTCCCAGGGTCAAATACTAGGTTTTAAGGTGAGAGGGAGAAAGTTTAAAGGAGATGTGCGAGGCAAGATTTTTATGTAGAGTAGAGGGTGGTAGGTGCTTTAAATGCGCTGCCCGGAAGGTGGTTAAAGCAGATATAATAGCAACATTTAAGAGCTATATAGACAGAAGCATGAACAGGCATGGAATAGAGAGATATGGACCATGCACAGGCAGATACAGTTAGTTTAGAATGGCATCACGTATGGTGAAGACATGGTGGGCCGAAGGATCTGTTCCTGTACTGTACTGTTCTATGTTCTCTTATCTTTGAGGAGAAATTTCTTCAGTGGTAGGCCTGTGGAATTCACCAGCTCAGGAACTGGTTGAGGCCAAAACATTGAGTTTAAGAAGGACACAGATATAGATGTTGTGGCTAAAGTGACAAAGGAATATGGGGAGGGTCGGATTAGTGTATTGAGCTTGATGATCAGCCATGATTGTGAGTGGTGGAGCTGGCTGGAGGATTCTAATGGACAACTCCTGATCCTGTCTTCTACTTTTCTGTGTTTCTAATTCGCCAGGTTGGATTTGTCCTGGTTTTTGTGTACAGACATACCTACACAATTTTCTGGGTTGTCGAGTAGATGCCAGTGTTGCAGCTGTACTGGAACAGTTTGGCTAGGAATTTTGCAAAATCTGGAGCTCAAGTCTTCAGTCATAATGCTGGAATGTTGTAGGATCCATAGCCTTGTCAATATCTTTGCCTCATGGTGTTCCTTGATATTACGTGGAATGAATTGAAATGGCTGAAGACTGGTATTTGTGATGCTGGGGACACCTGGAAAATGCTGAGATGGATGATCCACTCAGCACTTTTGGCTGAAGATTGTTATAAATTCTTCACCCTTAACTTTGCAGTGTGTGCTGGACTCCCCATTCCTTCTCCAGTGCGTTGTTTAGTTGTCCACCTCATTTCATGACTTGATCTGGCAGGACTGCAGAGTGTAGATCTGTAACATTTGTTATGAAATCACTTAACCCTGTCTAATATATGCTGCTCCTGCTGTTTGGAAAACAAGTACTTCTGTTTTGTAGATTCATCAAGTTGACACTTTTTGTCCTTACATGTCATGTTGTACTCTTCATCGAACCAGGGATGATCCCCTATCTTGATGGTACTGGCAGATTGCAGACCATGAGGTTCCAGATTGTGTTTGAGTACAATTTGGACATGGCTGATGGCTAACAGCACCTCCTAGATGCCCAGTCTTGAGTTGCTAGATCTGTTGTAATCTGTCCCATTTAGCATGGTGATAGTGACACCCAACACAAGGTGAGGTATTCTCAATGTGAAGAGAGGGCTGTATCTCCGCAAAGTCAATCTTCTCTGTATTGTCGTAGACAGATGCATCTGCAGCAGGCAGATTGATTAGGATGAGGTCAGATATATGTTTTCCTCTTGTTTTTCTCACCACTTGCCATAAACAGTCTAGCAGCTATGTCGTTTAGGACCTGACCAGCTTGATCAGTCAAGCTGCTGCTTGGCCACTCTTGGTGTTATTGAAATCCCCATCCAGAGTATGTTCTGCTCCATTGCCACACTGAATGCTTCTTCCAAGTGTTCCTCAACATGGAGGAGTACGGGTTTGGTGAGGGCAGGAGGGGGAAGTTACAAGATCATCAGCTGAATGTTTCCTTTACTATGTTTGAACTGATGCCATGACACCATATGGACACTGGAGTCACTGTTGAGGACTCTCAGGGCACTTCCTTCACGGCAGGTTACCACACTGTGCCACCGCATCCTTTGTGTGTGTCCTGTTGGTGGGGCAGACATACCCAGGGATGGAGTGGTGGTGTAGTTTTGGATGTTGTATGTGAAGTATCATTCCATGAGTTTAACTATGTTGCATGACTAGTCAGTGAGACAGCTGTCCTAATTTTGTCACTAACCCTCTGATATTGGTAAAGAGGACTTTGCAAGATTGGCAGATCAGATCAGTCATGATCTCATTGAATGGTGGGTTCACTTGATGAGCTGAATGGCTTGCTGAAGACTTGGGCTCCAAAACTTGCTGTTCCCCTAGCCAAGCTGTTCCAGTACAGTTACAATGTGGAAAATTGCCCATGTTTGCCTTGTACACAAAAAGCAACTCACCAGTTACCGCCCCATCAGTCTACCTCATTCATTAGTAAAGTGATGGAAGGTGTCATCAAGCAATATCTGCTCAGCAATAACCTGTTCACTGATGCCCAGTAGAATTCCGCCAAGGCCACTAAGTTCCTGACCTCATTACAGCCTTGGTTCAAATATGGACAAAAGAGATGAATTCCAGAGGTGAGGTGAGAGGAACACCAAGGCCGCATTCGACTGGGTGTGGCATCAAGAAATCCTCACAAAACTGAATCAATGGAAATCAGGGGCAAACTCTCCGCTGGCTGGAGTCATACCTGGCACAAAGGAAGATGATTGTGGTAGCTGGAGGTCAATCATTTCAGCTATTGGACATCTGTGCAGGTGTTCCTCAGGGTAGTGCTGCTTCATCAGTGACCTTCCCTCCACCATAAGGTCAGAAGTGGGGACATTTGGCGACGATTGCATAATGTTCAGCGCCGTTCGTGACTTTTCAGATACTGGAGCTGTCCATATTCAGTGCAAACATCTGGGCAGTATTCAGGCTTGGGTTGACATGTGGCATGTAACTAGCACCATACAAATGCCAGGCAATGAACCTCTCCAATAGGAGACAATCTAACTACTATCCCTTGACATTTAATGGTGTTACCATTCCTGAATCCCCCACTAACGACATCCTGGGGGTTACCTTGACCAGAAATTCAATTGGACTTGCCACTTAAACACAGTGGTTACAAGAACAGTTCAGAGGCTAGAAATACTGCAGCAAGTAACTGGCCTCCTGACTCCCCAAAGTCTGTTCACCATCTACAAGGCAAATGTCAGGAGTGTGATGGAATACTCCCCATGGGTCAGCTCCAACATCACTCAAAAAGCTTTCCCATCTATCAAGACAAAGCTTGATTGGCACAACATCCATAAGCATCCATTCTCTCCACACTGACACGGAGTAGCAGCAATGTTTACTACCTACAAGATGCACTGCAGAAATTCACCAAAGATCCTTACACAGCTCCTTTCAAATCCACGTCTACTTCCATCTAAAAGGCCAAGGGCAGCATCTACATCAGAACACCACCATTTGCAAGTTCTCCTCCAAGCCACTCGCCATTCTGACTTGGAAATATATCGCTGTTTCTTCACTGGTGCTGGGTCAAAATCCTAGAATTCTCTCACCTCATTGTGGGTCAACCCACAGCAAATGAATTGCAGTGGTTCAAGAAGGCAGCTCACCACCACCTTCTCAAGGGCAACCAGGGATGGGCAATAAATGCTGGCCATCAGCAATGCTGCTTCCCACGAATTAACATTAAAAAAGCTCCTATGATCAATATAAAGTTAGCAAAATTGTATAAATGTTTCCACTGTGACATTCCAAAAATTGTTGCTACCATTAGGAAGTTAATTTATCATAGAATCACCATATTTGCAACATAATATGATTGAATTTTCTGCATTTGTCACTCTTGTGATTGTCAGTGTTCTGTCTGCTTACAGGAAGGTGAGACTGCATTGCATTTAGCAGCTGAAGAGGGACATTCCAACTGTGTGAAAGTTCTTCTGAATGGTACCTGTGATGTAAATGCCCAAACAAATGTGAGTAAGACTTAAAGTTTTGCTGCAGTATTATGGCACACACCTGTTGTCAGAAATCAGTGATGCCTATCTTACTGTACCCTGCGCTTTCCTGGCCCCTTAGTTCTCATATGAAACCTGGGATCCTTGGGTTGCAAGTATGCTGATTGCTTTTTATGAATAGATTATCAGCCCCTGCTACTGCAATGGGAACAGCAGGATTAAATTCAGTTCAATGCAAAAGGGTCTGCCGGGCTGCAGAACAGACTTAAACTTGTATTCAAACATGTTATGTTCAAACTTCATGTACTTTTACGGGCCTGCAGTACCTGCCAGGTGAGAGGAATATTTAAGCATCAATATTACTAATATGTGGCAATCTAATCCATTCCCTTCTCTATCCATGCAGTCCTAAAAGTTTACTTCCCTCAAGAGCCCATTAAGTTTCTTTTTGAAATCATTGTCTCCCTTTCTGTCACCCTCTAAGCTGTGTGGCTTTGTGTGCATGTAGCTGCTCCAAGGGTCCATCTACAGTGATTGGTGTCAGCAAGTTGATCACAGCATTGACATACAGTTCCAGGCATCGATCCAGCGCATGGAAGAGGTGTTGTGCATCTTAAAAAGTATTAAAGATAGATGAGTCCCTGGGTCCTGTTGGGATCTATCCCAGAATATTGAGGGAGTCAACAGAACAAATTGCTGGAGCCTTGACAGACATTTTTGTATCCTCTTCGGCCACAGGTGACGGATTGGAGAATAGCTAATGTTGTCCCATTGTTTAAGAAGGGTAATAGGGATAATCCTGGAAATTACAGGCCTGTGAGCCTCATTTTGGTGGTAGGGAAAGTATTGGAAAAGATTCTCAGGGACCAGATCTATATTTAGAGGTGAATGGACTTAAGGGATCTGGGTGTGTAGGTCCACAGATCATTGAAGGTGGCAGCACAGGTAGAAAAGATAGTAAAAAAAAGGCTTATGGCATGCTTGGCTTCAGCGGAAGGGGCATCAAGTGTAAGGATAGAAAGTTATGCTGCAGCATTATAGAACTTTATGCAATATTCTAAGTGTAGCCTAGTAACAGTTCTGGTCACCACACTACTAGAAGGATGTGGATACTTTGGAGAAGGTACGGAAAAGATGTACCAGGATGATGCCTGAAATGGGGGAGTTTAGCTATGAAGAAAGGTTAGATAGACTGGGCTTGTTCTCACTGGAATGCAGGAGGTCGTGGGATGTCCTGATAGAAGTTTATAAGATTGTGAATGGAAAGTATGAGGCGTCTTACCAGAGGCGAAGGGACACTACTGGGGGACACAGGTGCGGTTGTGGGGCTGGTGTTGTTGGTGGAGTTTAAAAGAGATGTGCGAGGCAAATTTTTCACACAAAGGGTGGCGAGTGCCTGGACTGCGCTGCCAGAGGTGGTGGTGGAAGCAGACATAACAGCAGCATTGAAGAAGCACCTGGACAAATACATGCATAGGAAGGGAATAGAGGGATACAGATCCTTTGAAAAGTTCTCAAAGGTTTGTAGCTTGGGTTGAGAGTGAGGTTGTTGACTTGTTTTCGCTCAGATGTTTCGTCACCAGGCTACGTAACCTCATCAGTGGGGCCTCTGATGAGGCGATGTTGTTCTACTCCGCTTGGAACGTATAATGTCCAGCCTGTTATGGCGAGTTGTGCCATTTCCGGTTCTGTTCTGTATCGGTTTGTCTATGAGGTCCAATTTTATATGGTTGTTGATTGCATGATGGGTTGAGAACCATGCCTCTAGGAATTCCTGTGCGTATCTATGTTTGGCTTGGGCTACTATGGTTACATTGTCCCAGTCAAACTGATGGCCTTTATTGTCTGTGTGTACTGATACTAGGGAAAGTTCATTGTGTGGTTTCATTGCAAATTGATGTTCATGTATTCTGATGGCTAGTTTCCTACCTGTCTGTCCGATGTAATGTTTGTGGCAGTCATTGCATGGTATTTTATAAACTGCCTTGGTTCTGCATGTTGTGGGAATAGGGTCTTTAATCCTTGTGAGCGTTTGTTGTAGAGTGGCTGTGGGCTTGCATGCTAACATGACTCCTAGTGGTCATAGGAGTCTCATTGTCAGTTCTGATATGTTGTTGATGTAGGACAGTGTGGCCCCCTGTTGTTTGTTTAGTAGGCATTTGCAGATGAAGTTGCAGGGATATCTGCTCATAGAGAAAATTTTGTATAGGTGCTGTTCCTCTTTTCTGCGTAGTTCCGGGGTGTTGCAGTGAGTGGTGGCCTACCATAGCTTTGTTTGTGGATGTTGGAGCGGTTGCTGTGGAAGTTGAGGATTTGGTCAGTTTGGGTTGCTTTCCTGTATGCCTAGATTTGGAACTCCCTCTTGGACATACATTCAACCCTGACATCCAGAAACAGAAGCTGATTGTTGTTTTCTTTTCTCGTGAAATCTAATCCCAGCAAATATGTAGTTGGTGAGGTGATGGGTCTCCTTTAGTATCCCATCACCAAGTCATGCTTTATTTACTTATGCACAATACACTGGCTATGGCTAGCCAGCTCTGCGTCAGACCCCTGAACTCAGGAGATTCTAAATCTCCTGGTTATATTTATTTTCCCCACAGCACCCTGCGGAGTGCTGTGACCAGTGACACGTGAGGCTTGGCGTGAGCAAGAGAAACTGGCGGGGGGAAATTAAAATTACTCCAGTCCTTCTAGTGCCTACGTCTCCAGAAAGACATCAGCAGTGCTGGTGGACACTACGTGCTGCTCCTCCAGGGACCCCTGGGCTCGAACATAGCCAGGGAAGAGATGCAGGTGATCAGTATTAGTAAACCCTTCCACAGCCCATTGCCTGGACCTGTTAATGGCCAGCTTGGCTAGGCCCAGCTGTAGATCCCCAAGGACATCCTCCAACCTACCCCCTTCCTTCTGCACTGTTTGCCCAAAGATCAGGAATGTGGGGCTGAAATGCAACCAAAAACACAAAGGAAGGTTCTAAGCTGTGTAGTCCAGCATTAGTTGAGCATGTCGCAGACAGCGATCAGGTCTGGGTAAAAGACAGGCAGCGTCTTGCAAACCCTCATAGTTGATAAACGGGAGCCGTGTGTTGTAGTTGAGATTACATGCTTGGCGGAAAAAGTGTTGCCAGAGCGCACCACTGAGGAGGAGCCTCAACATAAAGAGGTATTGCTGCAAGGTCTGAAGGCAGAGAAAAAAAAAACACCAGCGACTGACCACACTCCTCAGTAGGGAGGGTCAGAACCTGTGCTGCGACCCAGTGCATCTTTTTTGCCCCAGAATGAATTAACATTCTCCAGATGTCAGCAAAAATAAAACCAGGAGGGACCACACCATAGAAGCCACCAGCTGGTTTATGACCAGCACTCTGAGCAGTCCTGTCCAGCAGTCTCAGTGAGCAGAGGCTTTGGCCTCCAGCTCCTGCCAATTTGCCGGCCAGGATAAAGGTAGACCCCCAGATAGAGATGGGTGGTGCTGCAGCGGAACCCCTGTAGCTCCTCCAGCAGAGAATCCACCTGCCACAGACCAACCAGGAGTCTGGAATGTTTGGCTGAGTTGATCCTGGTGAAAGACACTGCTGGGTACACTGCCTGGCACTTGCGCATCATCCCCAGGTCAGTCAGCATGCCTGTTCCTAGCCCACTCAGACCTAGCCCCCACAGCCTTTTCTACAAGAGGCACAGGAAAGGCTCCATGCATAGGGAATACAGCTGGCTGGACAGGGGGCAGCCCTGATAGTGCTCCTTTCCTTCGCTTCAGGAAAGGAGTAAGTCAGGGACCCATTAACTTTAACCAGACATTCTGTGGTGGTGTACAGAAGTTTGTTCCAGGTGATGAACTGTGTCCTGAACAGATACTTGTGATAGACCCTGCTGAACACCACCTCCTGATCAAGAGCCAGGAAGGTGCTTGATGGACTGAACCAGATGGGCATTGTCGTTAATCCTCCAGTGCAGGACCATGTATGACAGGTTAGGGTGGATCATGTGGGCCAGCTCAGATGCCAGGCAAGAAGCCAACACCCTGACAAAGATTTTATAATCAGTGCCGAGGAGAGAGATGGGACACGGGACACTAGTTCTTAAGAGAACGAAGGTCCCCTCTCTGACAGCAGCCCTGACAATGACTGCCCTGCACCAAGAAAAGGGCAGCTCTCTGGCCGTAAGACACTCCACCAGGACCTTCGCATGGCAAGTCCCACAACTGCAGTCAGCCGGCCCAGCCCCAGGGACTTGCCCCTCAAGAACCGGGTGAGGGCACTGGTCAGCTCCTCAAAAGTGATGGGAGCCTTCCGGCTCCTCCAGACTAAGCTGCAGTTGGTGCTCCCACAAAACTCTGCAGGCATCCTCGTTGCATCGATCTAGAGAGAGCAGAACCATGTATAAGCGTTATTCTGGGCCCTGATACCCTTCCAGATCTCAGACGAGGGACCCATCTTTGACCACCTTTTCTCCCCCAGCGTAGAAGGGGAAGCCACGGTCCGGGTCCTGGAGGAGCCGGATCCGAAACCTCGCGTAGGTGCCCTGGGACCCGATGAGTTGCAGGTCTCGGACCGTAGCTGCCTTCTGTTCCTACACACCCCAGCAGGCTGGGTCTGCATTGCGCGGACTGAGACGTGACTTCAGGCTGAGCACCTTCTCCAACTCCTCGATCCTGGATTTCTGCCTCTTTGACGACCCCCTCGCGTACTCCTAACAGAAGGCACGGACGTGAGCTTGGCCCACCTCCCAACCCTCTCTTTTCCAGCCAGTCCAGACCTGATGAAATGATTCTTGGAACCGCTCATCCTCCAGCAGCAGGTTGTTAAAATGCCAGTACACGGACCCAGCCGGATGCCGAATTGAAGGAGATCCGCCCACACCAGGTGATGGTCTGTGTACAGTTCTGCTGCACAGCGGCCACTCGAACGCGGGAGGCATACACCCATGAAACGTGCAGGCGGTCAATTTTCGACACACTGACCCCAGGCCTCACAAAGGTGACAGTGATGGAGATTCCGCCTGGTGGAAGGACATGACTAGGTCCCCCACGGACGGATGGAGGTGAGATGAGCGGACACTTCTCTGTGGAAGTGCATTTGCCTCGGCCTGACTGAGGGAGCATAGATGTTCACAAAGTGAAGCAGTACCGTCAGGTGAAGCAAACGGCCTGGCACAGGCTCCTTGACCCCCAAGGACTCTGGTTGAAAATGTGAGGCCATCAAAACAGCCAACCCACTGGATTTGCGGGTGGGGTGACTCATGTAGACCCCTCCATGCCACTCCAGGAGTCAGGTGGATTAGTCTCCCAGGCCAGTATGGGTTTCTTTCAGGAAGCACACCGAGAAGTTCTGGAGTCTGCATTGTGACTCCCTGCTGCTGGTTGATGTTGAGGCCGGCTATGGTAGTCTTCATTTTCATTAGTAGTGTGCAACCACCACCAGTGAAACCAGTTAAAAAACACTTCCTGGAAAGACAGGGGAGGGGCACACTGGCCCCTCCCTTTCACTGAGTGCGTCGAGGAACGTACGGAACAGCAGCCAGTCGTTCAGGGCCAGCCTGGGTGGACCAGAAGTCCAGCCTAAAATCTTCCCAGCAGTTGAGCATCAGCCAGATTCTATCGTGGCGACCGTGAGTGCCCTTGATTTAGTTCTGGAGTTCCTCAATGGGGATGAGCTCAGTGGGTGGCACTAGGGAGTCTAAAACCCTCGCTAGAGACAGATTCCACGTTGTCCTCAGTGCCTACCAACGAGTCAGAGCCCTCCTCCAGGTGGCCATTCTCGGCCACTGGCTCCTCCCCCAAGGAGAGGGTGGGGGCTGGTCAGGTGCCACCGGCTGGCTACAGTCCCCCAGTGACATAACCCACAGGGTCACAGACAGGAACGTCCTCGATATACTCCCCTTCGAGGCCTGGTCTAGGTCCAAGTCATTGGGCAACAGATACTCCGGGCCCCCGCTCCTCACCCGACACCATGGTACTCAGCTCATCAGGGAAAAAGGTCCTTCCCCAGCACCAGGGAAAACACAGTCTGGGAGGGAGGAGTGAGGAAAAACACCTTCCTTCTCCCTACCCCTGAGAATGACCTGGTGGGATTAGCAGTTATATTGCCCGGACCGTGGCCTGCGTGGGGCTCTGAATCGTCCCCAAGGACCAGTGGAGCTGCGGCAGCAGGAGGGCTGGCCAAAACCCCCCCAGAGCAGTGTGGAAGGGGCAGGAGGGACCTTAGTTCCTCCCCAGAAGGGTGCCTATGTCTTACCCATGTGATGGGGTTCTCCTCCCCCTGCAGGGAGCAGCACCTCTTTCCACTGGTCCTGGTAGTGAGGGCCTTGCCTCCCCTGCTAACCCTGGTGATCATGGGGTTCAAAGGCTCTCAAGCCAGTAGAGGAATACTATTGGCCAGGGTTTGGGGGGGGGGGGGGGGAAAAATCAGGGTGTGGTGAGGGCAGGGAAAGCCAGTTGCATCACTTCCTGCCTTGCCCCTTGGCTATCAGATGATGGTTGTAGGGGCAGGGGCCTGGCATCCAGCCCAGAAACCCCAGTCTTGGCTGCTGCAGGATGGACGCTGACAGTAGAACCCCCAAGGCTGGTGGTGGCCCGCATGCTGTTAGCCATCTGGAAGATGCGATAGGCTGCGATCTCAGATCATGGCGCAAGATCCCTCGGTCACCTCCTCCCAGGCCAAGCAAGTAAAGACCTGGCACCAGAAGGAATAGATGTGTTTAAGTGCAGGGTCCTTCAGTCAGAGCAGGAGCAGCTTAATACATGATTGGAATTGCCACAGTGATTGAAGATGGGGTGGGGGAAGCAGCTCACTGGCAATAAAGGGCAGAACATTGAAAATCACAACCCTCTCAGCCATGACCTCTAGAGGGTTGAAAGAGGACAATGTCTCACCAACAGCGAGACCCTTCTGCATGGCCAGGTGCACCACTTGCTCAGACCATAAGAAAAATACAGCCTTCCCATACATCTTGGCCACAGTGACGGTGGCTAGTGGGCCAACCTGACTAGCCATGGCCTTGCTGCAGGCCTCAGTGCTCCTATCTGGGTGGAGGTAGGCCTTGACTCAGAGGGCTTTGTTCAGATGCCTAAAGGGGGATGGGGTCATAACTGGGGCTGAAGCAGCCAGGCCCAAGAGCATAGAGTTAGAAGGGACTGTAGATGCTAGAAGCCAGACTCAATAAACAGGAAGCTGGCAAAGCACAACACAGCACATCAGACAGCAACCAAGGAGCAGGAAAGTGCTGTAGGAAGTCAACACCAGGTAGTAGCAACAGTCCTTAGGTGACCAGGCTCCAGGCAGCAGCGCAGGTGGAAAGCCCAGATAACAGTAGCAGCAGCAGCAGAACTAGGCCTAGGTAACATTAGTAGACCCAGGGAGGCCCAGGCTGCTGCAGTAGCAGCAAGACTAGAAATAGAAGGCTTCTAAGTCAAAAGGAGACTCAGGTCAACTCTACAGGCCAGTGGCAAACCCTCTCCTGAGCAATACACTGGCTCGCTCCAGCCAGCCTAGAGCAATCCTCTGAACTGAAGAGATGCTAAATGCCTCATTAATATCAGTCAGCCATGGCTTTCCTCATTGGCCCAGGTTAACAACTCCAATAAAGGACCTTGTAGTCAACAAAATCCAGCTGTTTCCAATCACTACACTAGCCCCCCCCTGCCCCTAGTTAAATTCTATCATCCCCAGCACCATTTTGGCTGATCCTGTCTACACCCTCTGGAGGAGCTTCACATCTTTCCTAAAATGTGGTGACCAGAATTTGATGCAATACTTTGGTTAGTTTATAATAACCTGTCTGCTTTGTGCATAGTGTCTGTATTAATGGAGCCCAAAATTTATTTGCCTTGCTAACTGCTCTCTCAATATGTCCAGTCACTTTCAAATCTATTTTTTACATTACTCACCTAAACCAAATGATATCGTGGTGTGGAGATCATTCAAATTGGGGGAGCAAAAAGAAATAAAATTGTTGTGGAGGATCGTATACTGGAGGTGGTTGACACTGTTCTCTGCAGCCGAGCACTTTATTCCTGAAGACTGTTGCCCGGTGCTAGGGTTAAGGACACCTCTGCAGAATGGGAGAAGAAGAGTCCAATTGTTGTTGTCCCTGTGATTCGGTAACATCGATAAGACAAGGCATGTGGTCTGAGGAACTAAATACTATATCAAAAAATGAAACCTTAAAGATGAAAATTCTGTGTTACTACCATGTGCAAACTGGTGTGGAATAATTAAGATCATGGAATTGAGTGTCTGGCTCACGAATAAGTTTTGATTCATGGGCCCAGTACTGGGAAAAGAGGGAGGTGTACTATCAAATACAAGAATTTAAGAAATCAGAACAGGCATTCAGCCCCTCAAAACTACCCGATAGGCAGTAAAATCATGGCTAATCTACCCCCGCCCTTAATTTCTTTTCATGCCAATTCACCATAGCCCTTAACTATTTCAAAAATCAATTTGCTTTCTCTTGAACAACTTTGTGATCTAGCTTCTACAACTCTCTGGGGCAGAGAATTCCAGATATCATTACCCGGTGGGAGAAGAAGTTCCTTTGCACCTCAGTTTTAAATGTGTATCTGCTTATTCTATAACTGCTTTCTACTTCAAGTTTCACCCACTGCCAGAAAGATTTTCTTAATATCTACCCTATCAAATGCATGCGCACACCGCCACCTCCCCCCCCCACCAACTTTTGCTGTTTAGAGAGTCACAGCATGGAAACAGGCCATTCGGTCCAACTCATCCATGCCGACCAGATATCCTAAATGAATCTAGTCCGATTTGCCAGCATTTGGCCCATATCGCTCTAAACCCTTCCTATTCATATACACATCCAGATGCCTTTTAAATGTTGTAATTGTATCAGCCTCCACCACTTCCTCTGGCAACTCATTCCATACACACACCATCCTCTGTGAGAAAAAGTTGCCCCTTGGGTCCTCTTTAAATCTTTCCCCTCTCACCTTAAAACTCTACCCTGGGGGAAAGACCTTGGCTATTCACCCTATCCATGGCCCTCGTGATAACCTCTATAATGTTACCTCTCACCCTCCATCACTCCAGGGACTCTATGATTAGTGCAGGAGCCCCCTGTGGTTGTGCTCACAAATCAGTTTTCTATTCTGGAAGCTGAGGAGGGTGCTGAACCAGGCTTCTGGCATGAAAAACAATCTGATTTTACAGAACGGGAGGAAGAATGAAGCAGGAGTGAAAGTGCTTAGTTAGGGGAACAGACAGGTGTTTCTATGGTAGTAGACGTGACTGTAGGATAGTATTGCCTCCCTGGTGCCAGGGTCTGCAAACTAATTGAGTATGTGAAATGGTGCTGTACGGATAGATAGCAGATTGTGGCTCAACAGTTAATTAGCTTTTTGTGCCCTCTTTTCCAATTGTTTAAATTTACTTCAGTTTGTACATTCATAACTCAAAGGAAAGTTCTTTGCCCTGTGTTGTCACTATCAGCAATGTTTTCTTTCAAGTAGCCTCTGAGATTGTGTTTGTAAGTGAACAGCACTGTCATCCTTTGCAAGTGTTGAAAGCAATAGGTGTTACATCTGTTCGTTACAAGATTCATCTCTCCAATTAACCTTCATCTGTGGCACTGCTGTCTTGAATATTAAATATAATCACAGCCTTTCCTTTTGAAGGCTTTAAGTCCATTTTGTGTTTCTTCCTGCAGAAGAATATGACTGCTCTGCATTATGCAGCATGTCACGGCTGGGTGAAGGTGGCTGAGCTGCTGATTGAAGCTGACATAAATGTGGATGCGGTTAACCACGTGAGTTTGAAAGGTTATTTCTGTAGGGGATTGAGTTTCTTCTAGGGACTGAGTTCTGGCTTAGTGAAAGTGAAACCTATCACAGTCAAATTTCCGTGGAGTTCAGGAGGAATGGTATTCTTCCCTACCACCCACATACACCTTTCAACAAATCTTGGTTCAATTCGGGGCCGTATTTAGGGCCTTTCTCAAATTAATCCTGTATAAATAATGTATTGTGAGACTGTTACTGAATATACAGCAAAGTAGGGCAATAATTTGAGGCATAAATCAGCCATTACTTAATGAATTGAGAAGGATGAGTAACTTTCTGCTGCTGTTATGTGATGTCCAAGTGCTGTGCTGATCCAGGTGCTGGGAATTAAATTAATGGTTGTTTCGATGATGCTGTTCACTACTGCAGAGAAGAAAGCAGAAAACAGTAGACAGGTTTGTTTCCCTGCAAACATCTGTCTTCTGTGTTAAATTTCTGACAGGTGGGAATGTATTGGAGATTGCAGTTCTTACCACTTCATCTCTGCTGACGAAAATTTGCACTTCCGTCCTCATAATATTAAATAAAAACCGAAAGAACTATGGATGCTGTAAATGAGAAACAAAAACAGAAGTTGCTGGAAAAGTTCAGCAGGTCTGGCAGCATCTGTGAAGAGAAATTGGAATTAACGTTTTGGTTTGGGTTCTGAGGAAGGGTCACCAGACCCAAAACGTTAACTCTGAATTCTCTTCACAGATGCTGCCAGGCCTGCTGAGCTTTTCCAGCAACTTCTATTTTTGTTGCTCATAATATTAAACTTCAGTACAAATGCAAAATGTTGTTTTTATAATGTAAACAAAAAAAATCTGAAATTTTATTTCAATTTCTACAAGAACCAACTAAAAAAACTGCCATGGGTAAGGGTGATTTATCATGAACGCCTTAGATTTTAGCTATTTTCTCTCTTCCTGAATTTAAGTCATGCCATTACTGTAAAACAGAATAATTTTCATTAGTGTCAGCATCAATTCAGAGTTGTACATATATAAAGTTTTTATACACCATGTCATCAAGTACTCCCACGACCTTAGACATTTGTCAAGCTCGTGTACTATAGCCAGAGGCAAAAAGCAGTAGAAAAATAGTAATATTTGATAATGAAAATACTGGTCATGCTGGAGCTCTATTTTGAAGTATACAAGTCAGACAAGTATGTATCTTTCGCTAGTCTCACTGTTGTCTCCTAGCATAAGAAGACATTGTTCTCAGTGGTAGGAGGGGCAGGAAAAAGAGGACAAAGATTTAAGGCATTTGATGAAAGAAGAAGAGGAAGAGATGAAGATGAACAGAATTATACAACAAATTGTTTGATCTGAAATGTGCTGCCTGAAAAGATGGTGGAAGCAGATTCAATAGTAACTTTCAAATGGATATAGAACATAGAACAATACAGCACAGTACAGGCCCTTCGTCCCACAATGTTGTGCTGAACTTTTACCCTAATCCTAAGGTCTATCTAACCTCCATCCCTACCTTATACTATCATCCATATGCCTATCTAATAGCCGCTTAAATGCCCCTAATGAGGCCGACTCCATTACCTTCTCCGGCAATGCATTCCATGCCCCTACCACTCTCTGAGTAAAGAACCTAACTCTCACTTCTCCCCTGTATCTACCTCCACTCACTTTAAAACTATGCCCCCTTGTAATAGCTACCTCCACCCCAGGAAAAAATCTCTGGCTGTCCACTCTATCTATACCTCTGATCATTTTGTACACCTCTATCAAGTCACCTCTCATCCTACGTCGTTCTAAAGAGAAAAGCCCTAGCTCTCCCAACCTTTCCTCATAAGACCTTCCCTCCATTCCAGGCAACATCCTGGTAAATCTCCTCTGCACCTTTTCCAACGCTTCCACATCTTTCCTGTAATGAGGTGACCAGAACTGGACACAATACTCCAGATGTGGCCAAACCAGGCTTTTGTATAGCTGGAGCATAACTTCACGGCTCTTGAACTCAATCCCTCTATTAATGAAAGCTAATACACCATACGCCTTCTTAACAACTCTATCCACCTGGGTGGCAGCTTTCAGAGAACTGTGGACATGAGCCCCAAGATCCCTCTTCTCCTCCACACTGCCAGGAATCTTTCCATTAACCCTGTATTCTGCTTTCAAGTTTGTCCTTCCAAAATGAATCACCTCACACTTTTCAGGGTTAAACTCCATCTGCCACTTCTCAGTCCAGCTCTGCATCTTAGCAATGTCCCTTTGTAACCTAGAACAGCCCTCTGCACTGTCCACAACGTGACCCACCTTCGTATCGTCCGTGAACTTGCTAATCCACCCTTCCACTCCTTCATCCAAATCATTTACAAAAATCACAAATAGAAGAGGACCCAGAACAGATCCTTGTGGTACACACTCGTAACTGAGCACCATGTTGAATATTTTCCGTCCACTACCCGACTTTGTCTTCTAAGGGTCAGCCAATTCTGAATCCAATCTGCCACGTTTCCCCCTATCCCATGCCTCCTTACCTTCTGCATGAGCCTACCATGGGGAACGTTATCAAACGCCTTACTTAAATTCATGTATACCACATCCACTGCTCTACCTTCATCCACGTGTTTGGTCACCTGTTCAAAGAATTCAGTAAGGCTTGTGAGGCATGATCTACCCCTCACAAATCCATGCTGACTATCACGAATCAAACTGTGCCTTTCCAAGTGATCATAAATCATATCTGTTCGAGCCCTTTCCAATAATTTGCCCACCACTGATGTAAGACTAACTGGCCTATAATTTCCGGGGTTATCCCTATTCCCTTTTTTGAACAAGGGAATGACGTTTGCCTTTCTCCAATCTTCCGGCACTATACCCGTGGACAGTGAGGACGAAAAGATCATTGCCAAAGGCCCTGTGATCTCTTCCCTCGCTTCCCGTAGAATCCTTGGATAAATCCCATCAGGCCCGGGGGACTTGTCTATCTTCAACTTCCTCAAAATTCCTAGCACATCTTCCTTACTAACATCGACCTTCTCTAGCCTACCAGCCTGTTTCACACTGTCCTCGTCTACAACTAGGTCCCTCTCAGTTGTGAATACCGAAGAAAAGTATTCATTAAGGACCTCCTATCTCTTTAGGCTCCGTGCACAAGTTCCCTTTACAATCCTTGATTGACCTTACCCTTTCTCTGGTCATTCTCTTCTTCGATATCAATAGTCATTTTGTTCAACTTGATTATTGCTGAAGCTTTTCATTTTGCAGTTATGAAAAGTTCTCAAGAAATACCAAAGTAACAGCATTTAAATTGAATGAGAGGAGAGATCTGATTGGTTCGCAAGTGGATTCCAATTCGTCAGGGCATTGTCCTGAGAAATGAGCCGGAGAATGGCTATCACTTATTTTGTTAAGTTGAAACAGGTGCAGCTGGTGTATATGTTTTTCTGTCTGTGAGGAGTAGGTCCCATGTATTAATATATGCAAAAGCGCCTCACTGTGAACCCAATTGACCATCTTAAATTCATTGTCAGTATAGAACAGCATAAGCTAACTGGGCTATTTTTGTCTCCGTCCCTTTTTGAATAAAGGTGGTACATTGGCAGTTTTCGAATCCCCTGGAATCTTTTCAGAATCTAAGAATTCTTGGATGTTTACCACTAGTATATCCATTATCTCTGTAACTGCTTCCTTTGAAGTCCTAAGATGCAGTCTATTAGATTACTTTCTGTGGGAATGCGTATTGTCTTTATTTCCTCCAGCTCCTTCCCACCAGTCCATTTATTATTCAGTATTTTTGGAAATCTATTAGTGTCTCCTACTGTGAAGACTGATGAAAAATACTTATTTATCTCCTCTGCCATTTCTTGGTTGTCCATTGTTATTTACCCAGTGTTGTTCTTTTAGGAGTCTATGTCCTTGATCTTCCTTTTCATTCATTTAATGAAGCTCTTACTATCCATTTTTTTAATACTTGCTAATCTACTTCATAGTTTATTTCCTAACTCTTTATTATCTTTTGCTCATCTTTTGCTCATCTTTTGTTGGCTTTAAAACTTTCCCAATCCTCTGGTTTACCACCAACCTTTGCCACATTATATATAGTGTTTTTTTGATTTGATACATACTTCCTTAATCACGGTCAGTTTATGCCCTTCTAGTGCCCTTGTAACTAATCAGAGGAGGCAGAGTTTTAGAGAGGGGAAATATAGGTTTACAAATTAAGAGAATATGGCAGCAGTACAGGGCAACTATTTTACTAATGATACCCAAAGTGGGACAGGAAGGGACAGAATGTACAAACATTTAGAAACAGCAGTAAACAGAGTCAAAAGGGAAATAAAAAGGTCAAAAAGTAAGGTTAATGTTCTTTATTTGAATGCAAAAAGTATTGAACAAAATCGATCAATTAACTGTTCAAATGCAAATTAATGGATATAATCCTTTATCTATTATGCAGACATGGCTACTAGGAGATCAAAGCTGGGAGCTAAATATTCACAGGTATGTGACTTTGCAAAAGGACAGGCAGAAAGGACAGGGTGTTGGGTTAGCATTGCTGGTACCAGACAGAATAAGCACAGTAGCAAGAAATGATCTTGAATTGGAAAACATAGAATCCACGTTGGTCGAAGTTAAGAGATAAAAAGGGAAAGAAGACACGGGTAGGAGTAGTCTTTGGGCCCCCTAACAGTAGCATATGGTGGCACAGAGAATAAATCAGAAGATAATGACGACATGTAACAAAGGCAGTACAGCGAACTTTGTTTTACTCGGAGCCTTATGAGCTGGCCCTCAAGATAAACTGGTAAAAATTATATATCTGAAATACTGCAAAGTTTAGTGTAGTATTCTGTCTATTATTATTTTAATTTATTTACTTTAATGTAAATATGCTTTTTGTTCAATTGAATGGCTACACAAAATATCAACAGTTCATTTGATTTCGAGGCAATTTCTCCTCAAATAACCAGCACATTTCTGGTTCCACAGGTGCTGGTTAATAAAAGGTTTGCTGTACA